TGATTTAGTCATGTGACCGCATTGGTATGGATGTAATTGATGGCATGACAAACTACACAATAGATGTTCTTTCTATATCAGTGTTACAGTCTCATACATTACAATATATGATCTGAAGATCTGGGTCTCAACTTGTAGGATTATGTTTATTACAGAATATGGAAAATGGCATATTGTTAATAATTGTCCACCACTGTATATTCTGCATCTCTTGTTATCCTCATGTTGTATTTGGCTAACCAAGACACCCCTGATATATTGCATTACGTAATAGTGTTGTTAACTGAGGAGTGATACTTGATTATTAATGTTTGTTCCTGCAGATCTGGGAGTGACCGTTTGAGAAGCACCTCTTGACTTCAGTACAGGGGATTGGGGCTTAAGGTCATGGCAGGAAGAGGTGGAGCAGCGAGACCTAACGGGCCGAACACCGGCAACAAAATCTGTCAATTCAAACTAGTGCTCCTGGGAGAGTCCGCTGTGGGGAAGTCAAGTCTAGTCCTTCGCTTTGTAAAAGGACAGTTTCACGAGTTTCAGGAAAGCACAATAGGAGGTAAGACATACATTATATTCCCTGCATATAATAACTCAAATCTGATGTGATGCTGATGCACTTATGCATGGGCAGTTTGACCAAAATTGTGTGTTATGGTAATGGTATATCACTAGTATAATATAACTAACATAACTATTTTTTTTTGCTGGAAAAAATATATATATATTTTATTGATTTTATTTGACTATCACTTTGAAATTGAAGTTACCTACTGATTTGTACAGTAAACACAATATTAGCCAATCAAAGCCTGCAGCAGTTTGTTTTGACAAGTCATGCTTTATCAATACCGTTTATTTAATTTGATATACAGATAGGCAGTATGTTACTGTTATACGGTAATGCTATAACACCAAATATAACTAGTTATCTTTGCCGTAATTTAATTTATGGATGGGCAGTATGACCAAAATCTTATGCTATAGCAATGACATATCATGATATAACTATTTATTTTGCTGGAAAAAATAAATTAGGTTGTGTATATTAAATAATCATGATTAGCCAATGGTTAACTATGATAACCAATGACTTATTCATTAAATAACCAACTAATATTATAAACTGGATAATTAACTAAATTCTGATTTGAAGAGCCACATGTCATTTTAAGTCATTAGTCAATATATGTAACAACAACAGTAAACAACTAAAAACTTTGGTTTTGTGCTTATCAACACCCCTTAACATCTCAGTTGGCTAACACATTTCTACCATTGGTATATGCAGTCATACTGCCCAGCCCTAATTACAAGCAATTACCAGATACTGATGGCAAGATCTGACCAGTCTCTGTCCTCATTCCACTAGCTGCCTTCTTGACTCAGACATTATGTTTGGATGACACAACAGTGAAGTTTGAGATCTGGGATACAGCTGGCCAGGAGCGTTACCACAGTCTGGCCCCAATGTATTACAGAGGAGCGCAGGCGGCCATAGTGGTGTATGACATTACAAATGAAGTGAGTCCTAACATGCTCGGTTTACTCTGCTGCTTAAATGATGCATCCGATTTTTTGTGTCAAGTTACATTTATTCATAAGGCACTTTATACAATACAGATTGTTTCAAAGCAGCTTCACAGTAAT